CCCCGGGGCTGCGGGGTATGGGGTTCCACCCAGGTTATGGGGCCGGGCAGGGATATGGGGGGCGTCTGGTATATAGGGGGTCCCCAAAAGTGTGGGGTTCCCCCAGGGATAATGGGGTGCACCTGGGGTAAAGGGGGTCTCCAAAAGTCTGTGGGGTCCCCAAAAGTGTAGGGTGTCCCCTGGGATATGGGATGCGCCAAGGGTAAGGGGGGGGGTGTCCCCAAAAGTGTGGGGCGCCCCCAGGGGTATGTGGTGTGTCTGGGGTAAGTGGAAGTTCCCCAAAAGTGTGGGGGGTACCCAAAAGTGTGGGGTGTCTGTGGGGCTGCAGCACCTGAGGGGGCCTCCAAGGGGACCCACAGCCACTGGTGGCCAGTGGACAAAGTTGGGGGGGGCCCATCTGGAGCCCCCTAGGGTGCATCGCTGCAGGGGGAAGGGTGATACCCCCTGGCTGTGCCCCGCTGTCACCCGTTGCCGGGGGTCCCGGTACACCCTGGGGCAGGAGGGTGGCAGGGGGCTGCGGGCTCCCCCCAGCGCCCTGGGGAAGAGAGGAAGGCGTCCAGGGGTGGGCTGGGGAAGGGTCCCTTCTGGGCTGCCACTTCCCCTTCACGCTGGGAGAAGGTTTTGCAACCCCGCTTCCTCCCCGGGCGGCATAAAGCGGGCGGCGGAGGGAAGGCGTGCCGGGAGGCGGCAGGGTAACGGGCGCAGGTGAGGGACCCTCCGGCAGCCCTGGCAGGACCCCGGGGTCTGGCACTGCCCCGCTCCGCCCCAGAGCCCTTCAGGGGTGACGCCTGGATTTGTCCCCATCCCTGGGTGCATCCTGGTGAGAACCAGCTTGGGAGAGGGAGAAGACCCCAGATTTAGGGGCACGGCGAGGGCAGCGAGCGGTGAGTCTTCAGGGTGACTTTCCTCAGGCTTAGCCAGCCCCCCAGCACCTGGCTGAGCCCCCTCACATGTGGGGCAGGCTGGGCTGGGGGCCAGGGTGGGCTGCTCTGGCTGCCCAAGGGGCTGCTGGTTTGGGGGGGAACGGGAGGCAGCAGGTGGGGGCAGCCAGAGCTGTGCTTGGGGCTAATCTGGGGTGCAAATCCCCCGTGGTCCCGGGGAACATCAGCCATGGGGGTCCCGGGGAGGGGGGAAAGCACCTACTCCCGTTTCCTCGCACAGCCATCACCAGGAGGGTGCTTCCCCATGGTGTGTCTCTCCTTCCTCCCCATGGGGACCCGCAGGGCCACCCCAGTGCTCCCCAGTCTTTCCAGTGTCATGAGGGGAAATGGGGTGCTGCGTGTTACCCCCTGTGAGCTGGCTGCGGGGTACCCACGGCTGGGGGATACCCGGTGCCAGAGGAACCACTGAGATTTTGGAGTGGGGAGGCAGAAAGAAGCAGCCAAAAATAGATGGAGGAGAAGCGCTGGTGTCCGGCTCTGCCCTGTGCGTGCGGTGACCCAGCTCCGGGGAACCTTTCCCCATCATCGCCAGTGGTGTCCCCAGCTGCGGTCCTCTGGGATGCTGGGGCATCACCATCCCGGCATCACCACTCTGGGCTCACCGCAGGAGAGGGGCTGGCAGAGACGGGGAGGGATTTTTCTGGGACAGGGACACCAGCCCAGCTGCAATGGTGAGGATTCCCTGCCGGACAGGAGGGGAAGGTTGGTCCCAGGGAAGGTCTGGTTTCAAACAGGGCCAGTTTGGTCCCCCTCCAGCACTGCGGGGACTCAGTGCCCACAACCATCACCAATCTCTGGAAGGGCTCAGGGGGTCAGAAATGGAGCAGAGGGGTGAAGCTGGAGTGAAATCAGTCTGCATCTATACTGGGAGAAGGCTGAAACCCGATGGTCTTGGGGAGGCAGGGACAGAGCAGGGAAGTGGTGTCCGATATACGAGCAGACAGGAAGAGCGACTGTCACCTGTGATTTCCCCATCGCGGCCCAGCACGGGGCACACGGGGATGCCCGGCAGCGCCTGGCTGACCAACAGGAAAACCAGAGACGTGAAATATTTCCAAAGCTGCTTGCAAAGGGTGACACGTCTTTCCGTCTGAGGGGTGAAACTGCTCACACAGGGACAGAACCGGGTCAGGGGGGAGGAAGGGGGAGAGGGTAAGAAGGGCATGAAACCACCTTCAGACCTTCTCAAGTCCCCGCCTGTTCCGGAACATTGTGATCCCAGCCTTGCCGCTGGCTGGGGTAGCAGGAGGGGCAGCACCAGCAGTGACGCTCGATGGGATGAGGAGGCCAAAGGGATGGAGAGATACTCAAAAGACTTTGGAGGTGCCTGAGGGGCCCTGAGGTACCCAAAGAGCTCAGAGGCTTTTGAAGGACCCACACAAACCAGGGTGGGCCAGGGATGCTGGAGGGGCCAGGTGTCTCCTGGAGGGAGGTGATGGTGCATTAATGAGGGAGCCCCCCAGTCCAAGATGAGGTGGTTGGCCCGTGGGGAAACCCCTTCCTCCATGGGGGACAGGGAAGGGACAGGGCTAGGATGAAGTGCAGCAGACCGAGAGGTGCTGGAGGTTTTGTACAAGGGGATGTATGAGGGACAGTATCGACCTGCAGCACTGCCCATTACCTGGCACAGTGTGGACTTGGGGCACAGGGGAGTGATGGAGAGGGGATACCCACTGGCTGAGAAGGAATCTGGGGGGGCAATGGAGATACCAGGGGACCAAGAGATGCTGTCACCCCTGGCCTACACCACCCTCCCACCCCACACTCATGCTCCTTTGTGCTCCACAGCAAAAATGGAGTCCTTCTCCTTCAGTGGGGATTTCTCCAACATCTTCTCCCTCTACAACTACACCTATGACTACAGCACTGCCATGCCCGACACCGCTATATCCTCTGCCCCGTGCCGGCCCGATGGCTCTGTCCTCAACAAGTACCTGGTGGTGGTGATCTACTGCATTGTCTTCATCCTCAGTGTGGTGGGGAATGGGCTGGTGGTGCTGGTGGTGACCTCCAGCCACACCAACCGCTCCGTCACCGATGTCTACCTGCTCAACCTGGCTGTGGCAGACCTGCTCTTCGCCCTCAGTCTGCCGCTCTGGGCTGCCTACCGAGCCCATGAGTGGGTCTTCGGCACCGTGATGTGCAAAGCTATCTCCGTGCTGCAGGAGACCAACTTCTACAGTGGCATCCTGCTGCTGGCCTGCATCAGCGTGGACCGCTACCTGGCCATCGTCTATGCCACCCGGGCCGCCACTGAGAAGAGACACTGGGTAAAGTTTGTCTGCTTGGGCATCTGGGTCTTCTCCGTGCTGCTCTCCCTGCCCGTGTTGCTCTTCCGTGAGGCTTTTGTCTCGCCCAACAATGGCACCGTGTGCTACGAGCGCATCGGCGAGGAGGACACAGCCAAGTGGCGGGTGGTGCTGCGGATCCTGCCACAGACCTTTGGCTTCGCCCTGCCCCTCTTGGTGATGCTCTTCTGCTACGGTGTCACCATCCACACTCTTCTGCAGACCAAGAACTCCCAGAAGCAGCGGGCCATGAAGGTCATCTTGGCCGTGGTGCTGGTCTTCCTCATCTGCTGGCTGCCCTACAACATCACATTGGTGAGCGACAGCCTGATGAGGGTGCGGGCCATTGCTGAGACCTGCGAAAGGAGGAACCACATCGACAGGGCCCTCTCCATCACGCAGGTCCTGGGCTTCTCCCACAGCTGCATCAACCCTATCATCTATGCCTTCATTGGGCAGAAGTTTCGCAACAGCTTCCTCAAGATCCTGGCACATCGTGGGCTCATCAGCAAGGATGCTGTGGCACGCTATGGCCGTGCCTCCTATGCATCCACCTCTGGCAACACCTCCACCACCCTCTGAGCCCTGCTGGGACCCAGCCCTCTCAGCTCCCAGCAGGTTCTGGCACCCCACACACCCCAGCACCCTTGCCCAGCCCCCTGGCATGTGGGCAGTGATGCCACAGGGATGGACAGGGCTGCCACTGGGTGCTGGACCCTGGCTGGAAGGAGGCTTGGGTGGTGAGGGGGTTAGGACCCCATTGCCACGGAGCGATACCAAGTGCTGCCCACCCTCCTGGTTCTGTGGGGTAGAGCCTGTGACTTTGGGGACCTCACGACCCCTCTGTGGGGACGGTGTTGGTGGCTGATGGCCATGGGGCAATAAAGAAATTGGTGGGTTGGTCACTGTCATGGTTTAACCCCAGAGGGCAACTAGGACCATGCAGCCATTCACTCACTCACTCTTCCCCCCAGTAGGGTAGGGAGAAGAGGGAGAAAAAGCTAAAAAAAAAAACCAAACTCATAGGTTGAGATAAAGACAGTTTAGTAGAACAGAAGCAGAAGAGAAAATAATAATAATGGTAAAAGAATATACAAAATAAGTGATGGAATGCAATTGCTCATGCCCTGATGATCAATTGCCCAATCCATCCTGAGCAGCAATTGCTGATTCCTGCCCCCGGGCCAGTCCTCATTTATATACTGAGCGTGACATCTATGGTATGGAATATTCCCTTGGCCAGCTTGTCCTGTCTATGCTCCCTCTCAGCTTCTACAAGAAGTTGAAAAAGTCCTTGACTTAATATAAGCATTACTTAGCAATGACTAAAACAGTATGCGTTATCAACATTATTCTCATCCTAAATCCAAAACACAGCAGCTACTAGGAAGAAAATTAACTTTATCCCTGCTGAAACCAGGACAGTCACCCAGGTCTGGCTCCTCTTTGCCATAGGGAGGGGGATGGCAGAATGGGGCCAGGGCATATCTCTGGGGATGGTGGGTCCTGGGCTCCCCACCTCAGTGCCAAAGCGGCGGTGCCCCCTGAGCCTGGCTGGGTGTGGGTAACCCCGCTTCCAGGCCAGGGAAGGGCTGTTACCCAAGAGGCTGTTACAGAGAGTTCGGCATCATGTGAGTCCCCAGAGGGGACCCAAAGGGCTTGGTCTCCACAGCCACCCAGCCAGGTCCTGGCACTTCCCCAGTGTGGGGGTCTTCATGCAGCATCTGTCCCACCTGGGGACAAAGCCATCCCCTTCCTGACCCCATACTGCAAGATCCTTGGGCAGCCCCTTGCTGCAACCAAGCCAGCCCTGTGACCCTGCCCTGAAGGTTGCTGTCACCCAGGGCACCCCTTATCCCCCCCCTTGTCCCCACCCGGCCCCTAGAACATCATTGTGCAAAGGGCTGGGAACCTGTCCCTTGCACAACCAGGACGTTTCCGCCCTGGCTTGGGCAACTGGGGCTGGCACTGGAGTGGGGCAGAGGGGCTGAAGAGGGGGCAGGGACCCTGCTGGGGTCACTTCTGCCACCCTGCATGCCAGGGACCAGGATGCCTGTTCCACCATGCCTAAGCAACTCTCCACGGGGGTCCTGTACTACACTGCTCCTCTGTTCCCCCTGCTCCAGGTTCCTGGGGGTCCGTAACTGTGGGGGCATCAGTGGGTGCCAGCTCTGAACTGGCTCATGGGTGGGTATGAGGGTCCCCTGGCACCCATGTGGAGAGTCCTGGGGACCTGGGGTTGGGCAGAGTCAGCGGGGGGGCTGGGCAGGAACAGCCCATCACCTTTGCATCTGGGAAACCTCTTGCCTAAGAGGTTCCTCCCAGCCTGGCAGGAAGCGGGGGCTGTTGGTCAAGAGCCATCTCTCCTGCCTGCTGCTGCCTCCCTGCTGTGGGACAGGGCAGATGGCAGCTCAGCCTGGCCGCAGCTGGGACACCCCTCATGGGGATGGTTCCCCCAAAAAGGGCTCAGACACCCCTATACTGGCATCCCCCCCCACCTCACACCCAACCTGGAAGTCAATCCAGCGACAACCGACAGACGACACGGGAGCCACAGGGGTAGCAGAAGCAGGTTGGTTTCTTCTCCGTGGACCAGCCACAAGAAAGACACGTCTCAAACCCGAAATGTCGGGCAGCAGGACCTGCCCGCAGGCTCCAGATGCCTGGGTCCCTGGTAAGTCCGAGAGGAGGCAGCCAGGGCAGGGGGTGTCCCAGGTGTGGTGAGAGGGCTGTGGTCCTGGGGGCTCACGTAGCCTGTGGGTGCCTTTGCTGGTAGCAAAGCAGGCAGCAGCGCCCCTGCTTGCCCACGTCCACGGAACACGCATGGCACACCTTGCCCTGGCACAGCCTGCCAAGAGAGAGGGTGGTGAGAGCTGTGCCATCCCAGTGCCCCCCCCCTCAGTGCCCCCCATAGCCCACCTGCAGTTGTACCGCCGGGAGAGGAGGCGGAAATCCTTGTGGCAGCGGGTGCAGAGCCCCACATCGCGAGGCGCTGGGCTGGGTATCGGGGTGTCGATGCCCTCTGTCTTCTGCCACAGGGCATCCTTCTCCCTGTGGGAGGGGACAGGTCATCCACGTCAGGAGTGTGGCCAGCAGCAGGGGTCCGGGAGCATGCCCTGGCACCCCAGACCCAAGGTGGGCACCCAAGTCTCCCCCTGCATCTCCCAAGGTGGTGAGCGGGAATCGCCTGGGATCTGGTGCCCTCCTCTGGGCAAAGGGGTTTGGGTCCCCCTGCCTGCGCGTGGCCCCACACCAGTGGTGTCCCCAGACTCTCACCGCAGCAGCTCCAGCAGCCGCCCCTTCATGTCCCGGATGAGCTCCTGCTGCCGCGCCTGCTCGGCACCACGCGTGGCCTCCCGCTCCAGGGCCTCCCGCTGCGCCCGCTGCAGTGCCGATGCCCAGCGCTCCCCGTCCTGCCGGGCCCTGGTGTGGGGCAGTGGGGAGATGGTCCCCTTGTCCCTCAGCTGCCCGTCTCTCCATCCATCCATCCATCCATCCATCCATCCATCCATCCATCCATCCATCCATCCATCCATCCATCCATCCATCCATCCATCCATCCATCCATCCATCCATCCATCCATCCATCCATCCATCCATCCATCCATCCATCCATCCATCCATCCATCCATCCATCCATCCATCCATCCATCCCTCCCTCCATCCCTCCCTGCCTCTGTCTGTTGCCCATCCATCCCCAAGCCATCTCCCCACCCTCACAGCCACCTTGCCATCTGCCAGGCTGGCCACCCATTCATTTCCCAGCTGTTCATCTGTCCTTCTCTCTGTCCTTCTGCCCATCCATCCATCCATCCATCCACTCATGCCCAATTCATCCTTCTGTTCCTCCATCCACCTTTCTCGAAGTCATCCCTCCATCCCTCTGTGTGCCCACCCATCAATTTATTCATCCCAAATTCATCCC